GTCCAGGCAACGGGAAAAATTCATTAATAAGGAAGACGAAGAAGAAACCCCCCTCTTATAAAATCGTAACCCAAAGCAGCCGTTCGTAAGGTGACACCGGGAAGGAGGGATTGAGGGAGGGGCAGGACTCCTCCGACAACCCTCGGCTGAAAGGCAGGATCCCCCCGGGGCCGCCCCCGGGGAAGGGAGGAGGAGCAAGAGACGCTCCGACACCTTTCCGAGAGTCGTTCTCAAATCTGAAGCAAGGAATCTCTTTTCTAAGCAGCTGATGGTTGGAACAAGGACCCGGAGGCAGGCTGGGAAGCCAACCCCGCTCCCTCCTGTCCCAGCGCTCTTCCCTCCTGTCTTTGTCCCTCATCCGGGAGGAGCCATGGCCTTATTCCAACGAGCACAATTTAACCCTTGATGTTCAGAGCACAAAAAGGTGCTGTTGTTGTCACCATCGTTGTTGTTGTTGTATCTCCTGTAGGTTTTTATAGCTGTGGACACACCCAAATGACCCCCAAAATCCTGACCAGGGTTGGCAGGGAGCAGCACGGGGGTGGCTGGGACTGTGGATGGTGGATCCTTGGAATCTTTGTTGCCACCAGCATGGGAACAGTGGCTGGGGGTTGTTTGGAGGCATGGAGATGTCATGGCTGTGGGACGAAGTGGCAAGTTTTGTGTTGAGTGGCAGAAAGACTTTTGAAGGGACAGTGGTTTGGGTGTGTGAGCGTTGTGGGGTCTGGCTGGGGGAGAGGAGTCTCTCCTGGAGTCACTCCTCATGTGTGGGATGTTCTGCTGAACCAAAATCCCTGGCATGGCGATCGTCTCCTCTTGCTCCTCTCTTCAGATGGCCCAGAGGGACACCCAGAGGAGCTGTGGGACATGCAGTCCTGTCACAGTCCTGGTTTAGCTCTCAGGAAACCACCCCCTGATTTACCTCCCGTGCCCCTCCAGCCAAGGGGAGCTGGGCAGTGACTCTCTCTGGACTTGCCTCCTCATTTCTCCTCCTGTTCCCTTTGACCCCCCTTTGGGGGTCCTGTTGCACCCCCACAGGAGCTCACCAGCTTCTGGATGGGGGTGACCAGTTTTTGGGGACCACAGGCATCCGTGGAGCAGCAGCTGTTGGGGAGTCCCAGGAGTGGGAGATCCCAGATCTCCTTGGCTCTTGATGAGGTTGGTGAGCCCCTGCCAGAGCCCAGGGGGCCATCCATGTTTTTTGGAAGATCAGATTGATGTGACTGCACGTTGTTTCTCCCCAGGTTGTTTGGGAAAGGGTGGGATCTCCCAGCTCTGAGTCTCTCCCACTGGGACTGGGGCTCATTTCCCTAAATGCCACAGGTTGCCAAGCACTTCTGCCAAGGGGCCCAGTATACCCTGGCACATTCCCCCTTTCCCAGTGGGGACAGGGAAGCAGCAACCTGCCTGGGCTCTCTCCCTCTCTCAGCACTTTGCTGTGGCCTCCAAAAGCTGGGGGAGCACCTCATCCTTGGTCCTGCTGGGCTGGGGTCATGCACGAAGGTGTTTCAGGCCAGTCTGAAGGTCAGGTTTGGGGGGGCTGGTCCACGAGTCCTTCTCTCCCTTCCCTCTTCTGCTTTCCTGTCAGTGGCTCTTCTTCCACCTTGGTTTTGTTTGGGAGGTGAGTGAAGGCAGAAGGTACCTGGTCCATTCACCCCATCCCTGACCTCTCAGCATTCCTGGGGCCAGGAGGTTCCCCACAGTAACATCTCCTGTGGGTTCTGATCCTTTATTTGTTGTCCTTCTTCGTGGGCTTAGCTGGTGACCCGGGGACTCTTCCTGGACAATTAGCTCAAGCCCTTCATCGACCATTTTTCCAGGGGAAAATGGAGGCAAGGACTGAACTGAGGCAGCTCAGTGATGGCTCTGAGAGGCACCAGATCCGTGTGGTCAGGATCAGCAGTGCTCCTCCAGCATTCCCCCTTCCCCATCCCTCCAAGGTCTTTCTCCTTCCCCTGTCCCTGCAGAGGGACACTGAAATGTCCCCACTGCATCATCCCTGAGGGGGAGAAGCCCAAACCTGGTGGGTTTTCCTCATCATTAGTCAACATGTTCCTTCCCATCTCTGTTTGGATCCATCTCCACCTGACCAGCAAAACAGGATGAGACAAATCTTTGCCCAGTGTCCCCTCCC